TTTAGCCCGGCCCATGTGATGCCACTTCTCGAAATTGTTCGAACCCAGAAGACATCCCCACAGGCGATTATTGACTTATTGGATGTTGGCAAGAGAATCAAGAAAACACCAGTTGTGGTTGGAAATTGCACAGGCTTTGCGGTCAACAGGATGTTTTTCCCTTACACACAAGCTGCACTTTTACTCGTGGAGCGTGGTACGGACGTGTATCAGATAGATAGGGCCATTACCAAATTCGGGATGCCGATGGGCCCCTTCAGGTATTAATTCATATACTTCTTATAATAACTTTATTTGAATGGCTAATTACTAACCCTACCCTTGAAGCATAGCCTTATAGAAATAACAAAATCGAGAAACATCTAACTCTAAGTTACAAATCAGTTGAAAGGTGATCTGGTAAAAACTACTACAAACTGAAATTATTATTATTATTATTATTATTATTATTATTATTATTATTATATATATATTTTTTTTAATGTTTAATTAGCTGACAGAGTTTCTGCGTTGTAAACTGGACCTTAGGGGTATTTTTTTCTAATTATTCCTACTTTGAGTTAAGTTTCATAGAATTCTTGAGGTTCGAGACTATAATTTGATGCTATATTTTTTTCGGTGCCTTTAGATTGTGCGACCTAGTCGGTTTTGGTGTGGCAGTTGCCACTGGTGGCCAATTTGTTCTGAATTTCCCAGAAAGAACTTACAAGTCAATGGTGATACCTCTCATGCAAGAGGATAAGAGGGCAGGTAAAACTTTTATTTTACAGTGTAAAAACATATTTCCCATTATAATCTATTGAGCTATACAGAATACGGATGCTATGAAGGGAGAAAAAAAAATAATGATTGTGTTGACAATAATATAAGTGCTTTAGGTGAAACTACTCGCCGGGGTTTCTACATCTATGATGAAAAGCGCAAGGCAAGCCCTGATCCGGAAATCAAGAAATACATCGAGAAGGCCAGAGAGATTTCGGGTGTTTCTATCGAACCTAAGGTTATTCTCCACTCCACTCTTCATGAAATAAGTGATGGTTACGAAAAAGTGTTGTTCAGGTCTTATCCAATTACTCCTACAAAAATAAATTAATGAAAACCAATCAATTTTTGGGATTGAGGTTCAAGTTTTCAAACAAGTATATCCCTTATCAAACTTGTGAACAAACACAAATATAAAGGAGGTTTCTGAAGATATTTTTTGTTTGTTGCCTTCTGTTTTTAGTGGGTAGGTATGGTATTTTTGTAACTAACCTTGCCAAAAAAGTATGTACCATTCATCTGATTTCCGGTAAAAAATTTGCACCCAGTTGACGAAAATGTCTGATAAAGAAATTGTGGAGATGATATTCTTCCCTGTGGTGAATGAGGCCTGTCGAGTACTTGCTGAGGGCATTGCAGTAAAAGCTGCTGACCTTGATGTCTCTGCAGTAATGGGCATGGGATTTCCTCCTTACAGGTTTGTTCGATGTATCAATATTTTTTGGATTGTATTTTTCGAATACAGTTTCTTAAGTAAAATGTTTTTATATGTTGACCAGGGGTGGGATTGTGTTTTGGGCCGATTCTCTTGGATCTAAATATATTTGCTCGAGATTGGAAGAGTGGTCGAGTTTGTACGGAGGCTTTTTCAAACCCTGCTCGTATTTAGCTGAACGAGCAGCAAAGGGTGCTCCCCTGGTGAGAGTTTTGAAATTCAATTTCTCTTTATGTGCTCATATTATTGATGATGCTAAGGGAGTGTTTGCAAAGAACTAAAATAAAATGATGCTTTGGTTTGAACTGTACAAATTGCAAATTTTAACTTTTGCTTTATTTAATAAGAATTGAAAACCATGGAGAAGTGTGCTTTACATGTTCTATTTTCCCTTTCTTCTCTCTTCTTTTCTTCTTTTTCTGCTGGTTATAGTTTTTCACAATAAAATACTTTTCAACTTCTCCAGTTTATCCTAATTTTGAATAACTATTCTCAACTAATATCGCTTCCGGTTAGTAAAAACAGTTTTTTATAAAAGCAGAATTTTTTTGCAAACACGCCCTTAAGGTTTAGCTTTATAAGGATAACACGTGAGATTTAGTTTCTTTTCTTTTTTTCCCCACAAACATATACTGCGTGAAAAAAATACTTGGAATGTCGAAAGTTACTGATATCTGTAATCTGGCTTAATTTTAGTACTAATCTTTCCTCGCCCACCAGTCTATGACGAAGTTATATTGTATTTTTGTTTTTCTTTACGTGTAGAGTTTAACTGCGAATCCAGCGAAGTCTCGTCTGTAAGGCCGAAATACTCGGTTCTTCTGTTACTGTATTCCAACCTGGTTCCTGAGTTTGTACTGTGCTGTAATTTCTTCATGGCATGCTTTCTGTATCCCTATGCCTTTGCCCGCATAGCAAAATAATGGAAATAGGAAGTCAAATAATAAGAGATGTAATTTATGAAAATTGAAGAGGAAGAATGAAACTTTTGTAGCAAATTAATTCCAGTCTTTTTAATACAGTTGTGCTTTTGGTCATATCTGCCTAATTTATGTTTCTGGTGATTCTTGTTAAATTACTTCCCCCCCAATTCTTTTTATGCATGATAATGAACAAAATGATCGATACATTTTAGTTCGGAGGAGTGCAAGCGCAATCTATTTGGCAAAATCATCGGCTAAAAGAAAGCTCACCTGGTTGGACTGTAACGAGCAATTGCCCAATTTTGGCAAATTAGGGTTTCGGTAGCAATTCAATTACTTCCCATTCATATTCTCGGACTGAAATTCAAAGAAACACTAAAAAATTGAAATCATAAAAAACAACTATGTTTAATTAAATAAATATTTTAATATTATACCGAATTCGTTCTTCATAAAAAGTAAAAAATAAAAAATAAAATCAATGACTCGGCAGAGATTTTCTAGAGATTCTTATTCTTAATGAAGTCACACATGTTATGTACAACACGCAGTGCTTCCCACGAGTTGGAGGAGAGTCACTATTTTCCGAGAAGACATACACATTCTTCTTGTTATATGCTTCTGTTGATGTTAATTACCAATAATTACTTCAAATAATTCATGAATCATTACAAATTCTAAAGAAATACATTTACATGGCCAGCAATACATAGAAGTTCAACAATCAGATCACCCGTCTTCTTAACTCCACGCAGTACACAGACACAAGGTAGAACTCATTTGGCCGAACATGTCTCAGTTCGATTGCTCATACTGTTAACAAAAATCAATTGCAAAAAAAAAAAAAAAAAAAAAAAAAAAAAAAATTAGAGTCAACAAGAATTTCATCGCTAAATTAAAACTTGGGGTGATGCCCTAAAACCTAGCTTATAATGGGGCTGTGAATATTCAAGAAGATCTTCGGCAAGCTTAGGCGAAAACCAAATTGCACTAGTTGAAATCTTAATCTTGCACATCAAATATTTAGATCATCTAGCCTCAGTTAAAATGGGGAAGTACGCTTCTTCATTTTTGCGCAGAATCTCGACATGGCTCTCACCTCGATGCTTACCAAGATCATTGAATTTCAGATCCAAATCTAAGTGCATACCGTCCTCGAGGCTCTGTATTGCTGGTGAAGGATAGATAGAAATCTGAAGAACAGTTTCCCACATCGAGGAGACATAGAAGGCTGCTAGTTCGCAAGGCTATAAAATGCCAAGTCCCAGACTGAAATAAGCATACCTTTCTCGGCCTTTTGGCTAAGATCAAGTGTAGTATCTGTTCTTATCAGTTTAATATCTGATACGTGGGTCAATGGCCCACACGATATTAAATTAATTTTTTTAGGGGGAAGGCCCAATAGGTAGCTTGCTGCCTGGGCCTTCGAGCGTCGCCCATGCGTTGCACTATTGCACGGGCCTGGCGCACCCCACCAAGCCCAAGGTTAAAACTTTATTATACTGGTTCGGGAATTAGCTTAATAGTTTTAAGAATTTAGCTGGACTAGTAAAATCCAGTAAAATGACCCGTTCAGGTTAAATAATTATTTGAATATGCACAAAGAATTAATCCAAGTTATACAAGTATCTAAGTTCTGCCATCATAATTGAACTTGTAAATTGTAAGGATTGTTTGCACTGTGATGTTGTCAAAAATAAATTTATCTTCTTTCTTTCTCTTCTTTTCTTCTTACAATATGTAGCTCCTCAGCAAGAAGTTGAACCTATTTTGTTAATGTGAATTGTTTACACAACCATACAGTGCATACAGTGCTTTTTCTGTAAATCACTGAAAAAGTTCATTACTTGGACGGAATCTTTGCAGAAATGGATTTTTTTTTTAGAACAAACTTATTCATAAACCTTTTCTTAATGAAGTACCTGACATAAGTTAGATTTTAAAAGTTGAAAAGTATTCAAGCAAGCACATGATCTTTCTTGGTATAAAAGCTATATGAAATTTGCATTTTCAGATCAATTCTCACACAAATCCAGCATTAGCAAGAGCTCAAAATCTGCTTATGCTCCAAAATTTGACGACATTCCCAACTAAGCAACATCCGGAAGAACAGAAAAATGAGCAAACAGAATCAAAATTCATTGGCAATTCCAGTCAAAAAATTTCCTTCTACCCAACAAAATATGGAAATAATTAATAAATTTTATGCACAATGGTTTCCCTCCATAGCTAAGTACTCGGACATCATACTAACGAAACAAAACCATTTTAAAATCCACATGATTTTACAAGTCACGTGAGTTCCCTGTGCTTTGGCCGTATTTGCCTAATTTATGTTTCCGGTGATTCTTGTTAAACTAGTGTATATATCATGCACGGAGGTGCTCAAATTTTAAACATTTTTTTAGATTTTATTTTAAATATAATTCTTTATATTTTTTACATCTCATCTATTATGAAAATTAAAATAAATACAAGTAATGAAAAATATATATTATTAAATAGTTCTCTTTATACAATATTTTTTATTTAAGAGATATTATTAAACCTTACGGTTTTGATTTTTTTTAAAAATCAATTATCCAATATATGATTGTTAATTTATAAAAAATAATGGAAAGAATCCAGACTTTAAAGTAAAGCTATTTCTTATTTTTTTTTTACAAATCAAAATCATTCAAGTTTTTTTAATTTCAAAAAAATTTGGCAAGTCTATTAATGAGAAAAATCAAGTTATACAAATAATTAATTAGTTAAAATATTATATTAATTATATTTTAAGAAATCTGATTATATAAATGTGGATAAAAAAAATATTATACTAATTAGTTTGTTAGGAATGTGATTATATGGAAATTAAGATAAAACGAAATGTAACAAAAAAATCTTTTCGTGGTCTTTTCCTTTAAATGCTTCAATTTAAAAATTTAATAAGCAAATTTAGATTATTTATCACATAAGGAAAAAATAAATAATAATGTTTATGAATATATTTAAGAATTTAATTTTGAATTTCAAATAGAGTAAAAGACGGAATAATTTAATTTTTTTTTTCAAAAAGTATTTAAAGTGTTTAATATTCTGTTAAGTATACTCGTAAGAATAATCTAACTATTTTAATTTTAAAAATTTTGGCAAGTTTGATAATGAGATAAATTCGGTTAGACAAAAGATTAATTAGTTAAAATATTATCTTAATTATATTTTGAAAATTTCAGTTAGATAAATGTAATTATATTAATTAGTTTGTTAGGAATGTGGTTATATGAAAGTTAGGATAAAATGGAATGTACCCAATAGAGATATTATATAAAAGCGCACAAATGTGCAAAAGTACAGGCATTAGTTGAATACAATAACCAAAGGCTGAATACAAACAGCCAACGACTGAATAAACTGGGAGGACAGGTCAAAAGACCGCCTAGAACCCCGATCCCAACAGGGTAAAATCCTAAGAACACTAAAAACTCCCAAGAGGAGAATGGGAGAAAACGGCCCCAACAGGATAATACTCACTCACACTCGAGCAATACAGAGGCCAACGACCCAGACAAAAAAACACAAGTACTACCGAACAACTCAACAAAAACAATAACTAAACAAAATAAAATAAACTAACTAAAATTAACAACTAGACCTTCCCAAGCAGCTAAATCAAACAGAGCCAGCGAATCAAGTCGCCCGAAATTGAGTCCCGCAACCAAAGAGAACCAACCCTGAAACTGCCAAAAAACAAAACGGTTGCTTAACGGAGGTAGTCCAAGCCTCGGGATATCAACCTGAGCCAAAACTCATCACGACCACAACATCCGAATTGTGCCAGAGCCGCCACTGAATCGAGCCCTCTAACACCACTAGTGAAGCTCGACAGTACCCGACTCGCCCCTGAAACCCAACACACGAGAAACAGGGGTACAAAGCAAAAGGAGCCGTGGCCACAACCCCGACCCTCAAATCACCTGAACGCGGCCGACAACCCTCCACACCACCGCTACTCCACTTCGTCCAACACCACTGGCTGGAAATTGGAGACGTAAGTCCTCCCAGACCCAACACTAGGGTACATAGAAGGAGGAAGAGAAGACCGAAAGCAGCGACGAAGCTCCGGCCGCCCGACCCATATGCCGCAAGCGACCGAGCCCCGCCTCGCCCATCGAAACTCGCCTCGACCACATCCACCACAACCCAGAGAAGCCGACGACCTGGCGCTGTAGACTGCACTGAAAGGACAAAACCCTCCCATGGAAGTTGAGCCTCTCCATCGCAATTGACGAGGCTGGTGCGAGAAGACAGAGCGGGTCCAGGCTACGAGGGTTGGCCACCGGCTCGAGCTCAATTGCCGCTAAGGAAGGCAAATCGGAGAAGAGAAAGTTGGAAAGCGGCGGTAGGGTTTGAGATCGCAGAGAGGAAAGGGAAATTTTTCACGATCTCACAATTGTAAATATATTGTACCCAAAAAATCTGCTTGTGATCTTTTCCTTTAAATGTTTGAATTTAAAAATATAATAACCAAATTTAGATTGTTGTTGTATGAAATTAACAACGTAAAATTACAAACAGCTGAGTGTGTTTAAACAAAGATTAAAGAAAAATTAGATTTTATTTTATATTTTCATAAAAGTACAGGAGTCGGTTTTTTTATTCTTGACCGAGATCATCTCAAGTCCATGTACAATGTGTTGAAAAAGCCCCTCGTACTATCATAAATTCTGCTATTTATAGTACGGTAGTTTTTATCTGTTTATTTGAAATGGATAAACATGTATTTAATGTTGAGCTGCTTCACTTTAAGCGGTGGGAAACATCAATGGTTACTTTTTTGTTTTGCTGGTCCAATCAGGTGTTTACAGCTTGTCTTCTGCCTGAATAACTTTGTGGTAGTCGGTTTGAATAGAGAAAACTTGATTCGACTTGTCATAATATTGGTTGAACTGAAGTCGGTTTATTTGCATCTGTCTCAATAGTCGGTACCTTTGACAATCTCGGAAGTCGGTAATTAATTCAATGAATACCGACTTGTTCTAAGTTTACCTTCTTCTGGAGGATTATTTCTTCAATGAAGTGATTAATCACCATTTTCAATTATGTAATCAAGTCGGATATCAACATAGATTATATCACGTACGGAAAAAAAATAATAAACATTTATTAAAGAGATAAATCAATAATATTTATCACTTAGATAATAAATAATAAACATTTACACGTAAGAAATAAATAAATAATAATATATTTTAAAATATAACTTAGAATTTTAAATAAAGTAATAGGAGGGATAACTCATTTTCTTAAAAAAAGTTTCTAAATGTTTAATATATTGGTAAATATCTCCGTAAGAATAATCATACCATTTTAATTTTTTAAAAAAATGGCGAGTTTGTTAGAGAGATAATTCCGGTTAGATAAATAATTAATTAATTAAGATATTATATTAATTATATCATAAAAAATCAGTTATATAAGATAGATAAAAAATATAATATTAATTAATTTGTTAGAAATGTGATTATATGAAAATCAAGATAAAATAAAATTTACCCAAAAAATCTGCTTGTGATCTTTTCCTTTGAATGTTCGAATTTAAAAATCTAATAACCAAATTTAGATTTTATCAGGTAAAGAAAAAAATAAATAATAAAAATTTATTAAAGAGATAAATCAATAACATTTATCACTTAGATAATAAATAATAAATATTTACACTAAAAAAAATAATATATTTAAAAATATAACTTAGAGTTCCAAATAAATAAAAGGAGAGATAACTCATTTTTTTTAAAGGTCCTGATGCAGAATAAATATAAGTATTATCATTCTTATTATTGTTATTATTATTATTATTATTATTATTATTATTATTATTATTTAATAATTAGTAGTACCTTAGAGAATAAGCTAGGTTTAGTTTGAGGGGTTTATTTAAAGATTTCTTATGCTGCGTGACAAGCAGTGGAATATCTTTAAGTCATTTAGCTTCATCCACCCCTTTTGTCCAAATTTATAAACTCAAACTTCATTGTGGGTCTAGCTTTGTACTTATTTTCATGACACAACTCTACCCACCTAAAGTGAACACGTAGTCACTTTTTTGTCTTAGAGTTTTTCATGTCTAATACTCTATTTAGCGTGATCAAAATTCATCGCTTGAGATACTCGTGAACATCTTAGTTTGTTCGCGAAAAATGCAACATTGGGGTGAGTACTATCTGACAATTACCTCAAGCAGCCAATTATTCAACATACTTTTTCCGAGAAACTAATTATTCTCGAATTATTAGCTAAATCATGTAGAGTCAATTATACATTCTCTTTAGCTTGAGGTTTTATCGAACACATCGATCCTCTTCAACATACATTTGACATGATGAGATTGTGTCAAATAATTACTTCTGATCTATTTAGAAACTTAATCTCCAAAATTACATCGGAATTTCACAAACTTTAAATGTCAAAGTTTATCTTCTTGGTATTCATGAACACATCATGATTAAATTCCCAGATCATCATATTGTCTAAATGAGACTTACGATCACAAAGGGTCGGAAGAACCTTCATAGACTCATTTTGTCATTCAATGAATTTGAAACCATTCGACAAAATCATTTTAACAAATTTTTCATGCCATTATTTAGGAATTTCTACCTTGGACCGAACACCCCCACATTTCAAGGTATATGTACGAATGCTTTTGCTCTTTTTATAACTCAACGGAATTTCGTATCTACCTTCGTGTGGTGCTTTCCATGCCCGAACACCCCCACATTTTAAGGTATAGGTATGAATGTTTGTGCTCTTTTTATAACTCAAACGGAGTTTCGTATCTACCTTTGCATGGTGCTTGCAATTTTGTCGAAATAATTGCTTCTCACATAAGTATTTAGATTAATAAGAAATTGTCACCTACTCAAGAGTGATTATTTCTTTTGACTTGACAATATCAACATCATTATTATGACTCAAAGCTACAAAAGCTTTACGACAGCACTTTGTGCATTCTTATAATATTTACTGCTCGAGTTTGCACAAACTCTTAAATCACATTTACCGTTGTGACTTATCTCGAGAGGACTAGTCAATTAAAACAACCATTTCATATGATGCTTTATGTCACTTTTTCATTTTAACACAATTTTCATACTTGTTGTATGAATCAATTCTAGATTCACCAACTTCTAGTGTTAAAATTCACAAGTTCCAATTTATCATGCCATAAATTAGAACACTCAATAAATAAGACCAACTTATTCACAAGTTCCAATTTATCATGCCATAAATTAGAACAATCAATAAATAAGACCAACTTATTTATCTTTTCGTCAAACAATTTTTACAATAATTGTAAGATGACCTTTATTAAGGCTATTTACGTTAGGAATACATCATATTTCGACATAACATATTTGTCGATGATCATAAACTAATCTAAGTTCGGCCTTACACAACTAATGGTCCGAAAAATAGATTCTTATGGATGTCTTGGGCATGAAGAACATCCATGATCTCCAATATTAATTTTTAGCACACTACCTTGTCGGTTCCTTCAGCACTTTAAGTCGAGGAATTCTACAAATACTTCTTTCCATAGTTAGGGTTGTAGGACAATGTTTATAAGCGCCTATGGGTCAAGTTGCTCTTGTTCTTATCCGCTATAAACGTGGAACTTTAATCAAGTATGTACTTGAACCACGACGGAAAGATCGATCTCTGACAAGTATTATCTTGTCCTCGACAATTCGCACTAACCTTTATCCCTCTTTAGAAGTTAGTAATCTTCGGCAAGGTACCCGATTTTGTTAACATCGTAACGACATCCCTTGGATTTCTTGGCTTCCCATTTTGGTTTGCCATTAAAAGCGTTTTTACGCTTCTTACTCGAGCTTGGCTCGGCCAAGTTTGCCTAGCCTCTATCTCGCTCCATTTGCCCAATACTTCGGATTTTGATTATTTTATTTTATCCGAAGACCATCTATCAAATCCTCGAGTTTCATCTCTTTGCATCTATACATGAGATAACTCTTGAAGTCGTTTCCACAAAGGAGACAACTTTTCAAACTTAGTCGTCACTTGAAAGGCTTCGTTCACAATCAATCCCTCAACCAACATATCATGAAGGATGATTTGAATCTCTTGAACTAGGCTAACCACCCGACTTGGTGTTAACCATCAAGTACTTTAGGAATTTACCGACAAGAAATTTCTTAATCCCGACTTCTTCCGTCTTGTACTTCACCTCCAAGGAATTCCATAACTCCTTGGTTGTCTTAATCGGGCTACAGATTATAAAGTATGTTGTCTAGTCCGTTAAGTATTAGACTTCTACACAAGAAATTACTATGATGCCAAGCATTCAACACCATACATTTTTGGACGTTAGTCTCACTTTCGGTGCGATCAAAGGGTCCTCCGAAAGTAAACAAGAGAGGGAGAGAGTTGTGAGGTAGTAAAACATCCTTTGCTGCCACCTCTTGAAAACATAGCCATTGAACTTCGACGGTCTCTCGCCTTGAACATGAGTGACTACCCTCAATAGTTAGTAACCGGTGTAGCGGTCGGTTAATCACTTGAAGAAGACATTTGGTTTCCTCCGGTTCCCATCTTATGAACTCACAAATATTTCGTCTTAAGATTGTAGTATATTTCTGGTTTGTGAATATCAAAAAGGCGGCTTAAGGAGAATGAAGAAAACGAAACAAAATCAAAGTCGATGCACGTAATAGTTACGTTCTCCTTAAGACGAAATTTCCCCGTAAAATACCCACGGTTAACGGCAAACGCCTCCAAGATACAACGACTTTCAACTTGTATATAGCGGTACTTCAAATATACAAGATTTCGGTGAACACTACTATTGTTTGGAACTCTCAAGACTCAATGAAAAAATCAAAGAACACAATATGCTATATGATCTTTGAAAAGTAATGCAGGAGCTCTCTAAATTTCATAATAGTAATGATTTCAAGTATGTGTGTATTTATAGATGTAGGAAACACCTCCAAGAGGTTTAAGTGTCAAAAGACACCTTTTCGGACGTGCCCGAACGAGAACGAATGCATCTAGTGGTCAAAAGATAACTTATGGTCACCAAAAGTTGCGATCCTTTGATTTCCGCAGCCAGTTTTGCGCCAGTGCGCCGCGGGCTCGTACAAGCTCATACGGACTTGGAATCGAGTTCTGTTTTTTCCTACTTGTCCCCAACGAGCCTTTCTACAATTCTAGCATACATAATGCATAATTATGGCTCGTTTAGTTCGTCCAGACATTTGTCAAAACAGAATGATTGTGAACCCTACAACCTTTGAGTTATTTAAACTCAATTAATTAACATTTAACACTAAGAATTAATTTCTCATTCACCTTGAAAAGGTTTTGAGAATTTCGTAAGTCTTCTACTTACGAAAAGTAGAATCATTAAATCGATACAAAACCAATTTTTTCTTACATGTTTATGTTGATGTTAATTATCAATAATTACTTCAAATAATTCATGAATCATTATAATTTCTCAAGAAATACATTAGAGCATGTTTGTTTATGAAAGTTTTCAAAAAATTTCTAACATTTTAATTCGACCATTTTTTTTAACTCAACTTTAATTCAACCTCCTTATCATAAAAATTATTAATATAATTAAATAATATCAATCAATCATTCATACACACCACATCAACATTAATTTACTATTCATCATATTACATTATTTTAACTAACCATCACTTCAAATCTCTCTCTCTTACTTTTACATTAAATCAATTTTAATTATTTTATTTTAAATATTATTTTAATATACCCACTAACAACTAACTATACCATCTTTTTCAAAACTAACCAAATCAAATCAAAAAATCCAAACAAAACCAAAAATTTTTATAAAGAAACATGCTCTTAACATGGCCACCTATACATAGAAGTTCAACAATCAGATCACACGTTTTAACTCCACACAGTACAGACAAAAGGCAGAACACATTTGGCCGAACGCCTCAATCCGATTGCGCATACTGTTAACAAAGATCAATTGCTNAAGATTAGAGTCAACAAGAATTTCATCGATAAATTAAAACTTGGGGTGATGCCATAAAACCTAGCTTATTATGGGGCTGTGAATATTCAAGAAGATCTTCAGCAAGCTTAGGCGATTTGTGGAAACCAAATTGCACTAGTTGAATATTTTAGATCGTCTTACCAAAACCATTGAATTTCAGATCCAAATCTAAGTGCATATTGTCATCGAGGTTCTTTATTGTTGTGATTCTCTATTGCTGTGAAGCAATCCTCGAGGCTGTGATGTTGCTGGAGAAGAATAGATAGAAATTGGAAGCATAGTTCCCACATCGAGGAAACTTAGGAGGCTGCTAGTTCACATGGCTATAAAACGCAAAGCCCAAGACTGAATTAATCATACCTTTCTCGGCCTTTTGGCTAAGATCAAGTGTAGTATCTGTTCTTATCAGTTTAATATCTGATACGTGGGTCAATGGCCCACACGATATTAAATTAATTTTTCTAGGGGGAAGGCCCAATAGGTAGCTTGCTGCCTGGGCCTTCGAGCGTCGCCCATGCGTTGCACTACTGCACGGGCCTGGCGCACCCCACCAAGCCCAAGTCAAAGTCTTGTCTTAATTCTGAATGTTATTACTCCATTGACATCGTGTTATCTCGACAAGAAGAAATTTTCAAAAGGACCTGATACCTAATCAAAGATAGGTTAAAAATGTGGTTGGCTCCAAATCAATCTTCATACTCTTTTGCCTTCCAAGTCCAATCGTATAAACAAGTTGGAGGTCGTTCCAAGAAGACAGATAAAAAACAGAGAGTTTTACAGTTTTATGGTTCGAAAGTTAGGAAGAACTATTTTTCAATGGCTATCAATTTAAGGCTCGTTTGTATTTAATGACAAACTCGGGAAAATGTGAAGCGGCCTACTCCGCTCTTATATGCGAGTTTCAATTGCTGAAAAATGGCCTAAGAAACCAATTATGTTTCAACTACATCTCTACAATAGTCTGCCTTAAACATTTGGCAGCAACTGTTGCGCCTCTATGATGCTCTCTTCTATCTGACGTATCACCTATCCCCTATTATACCTCGTCCAATCACGGATAACTAGAGATTGAGCTTCTCTCTCGACCAAAATCCCATACAAGCCCTAAGATTGTAATAAGGTGAAAGACCTCATTAAAATCTAGATGCATTATGTCCATGGTCCTTCATAGCATCTCCAATGGAAATTGTGTTATATAACATAGAGAAAGGAAATTAAAAAATTGTGTCTCCAATGGTTAATGTTAATTGTCGTATAATTTGTGATGTGTAAAATTGTAACTGGTTGAAGAAAAAAGATAGATTGAATAAATAATATATAATATATAATAGAAAGTCTTCTAGACATTTTCCATGTCACATAAGATTTTTTGTGCTATGGGAGATGCTCGGCTTTTATTATGTCAATGATCACGTACAACAATTGTGCATCTTATGAGTTAGTCGAGAGAAACTTATATCAAGAAAATCCATGTTATAGAAGTATCTAAGTTTTGCCATCAAAATTAAGCATGTAAGGATTGTTTGCCCTATGATGTTGTCAAAAATAAATTTATGTTCTTTCTCATCTTTCTTCTCTTATTTTGTTCTTACACTGTTAATGTAGTGAACTGTTACACAAACATACAGTGCTTTTTCGAAATCACTGAAAAAGTCCATTACTTGGGCAGAATCTTTGCAGAAATGAAAAGATTTTTTTATTTTTTTTTCATAAATCCTTTCTTAATGAAGCACCTAACATAAATTAATGCTTAAAATAGAGTTTCAAAAGTTGAAAAGTATTCAAGCAAGCACATGATCTTTGCTGGTATAACATGCTATATGAAATTTGCATTTTCAGTTCAATCCTCACACAAATCCAGCTTTAGCAAGAGCCAAAATCTATTAATGCTCCGAAATTTGACGACATTCCCAGCAAAGCAACATCCGGAAGAACAGAAAAAATGAGCAAATAGAATCAAAATTCCTTGGCATTTCCAGTAAAAAAATTTCATTCTACCCAACAAAATATGGAAATAATTAATAAAATTAATGCACATTGGTCTCCCTCCATAGCTAAGTACTTGGACATCATACTAACGAAACAAAACCCATTTTAAAATCCGCATGATTTTACAAGTCACATGAGTTCGGCCGAAGTTTATTCCCTGTGATGTAGGAATTTGGCAACGCGCTCTGATTTTACTCCCGATTTGTGGTCGTAATACTCAACAACAGCTGCCCCAGCTAAGGCAGCTAGAGTAAGTGCCTGAGCATGCAACCTGATATTCCAGAAATTCACAGATATTATATTCATGGCAGAGTATAGAAATAGAAATTTTTTAGAAATTCCAGGATAAATTTCCAGAGTATGCCTTAAAGGCTTCATCTACATACACAAAAGCATGCACAAATGGGGGAAAAAAAAATCAATTATGTTTCAAAATTACAAAACTACAGTGATGCATTATTTTCATTCCCTGAAGAAGTAAAAACTGAAAATGCAGACAAATAGCATCGGGAGAGTAATTTTGCGGATAATTGGGTACTTATAGAAATATGTTAATATTAAATGAAAGGTTCTGTATTTAACCCAATAGAGCCCTTAGACCAGAGCTTCACCAAGTCAAAACAAGAGTACAAAATAACTTATCGACATAATATCCGTAAATCATCTACCTCGATATAGCTTAGTTTTTCAACTACAATCTCCATTGAAATCAATCATTTTTCATGGCTAGATTATCAAGTTCAAAACCAAATAATCAATCATCAAAATATAATACCATGATCACGACAATATAGGCCTAAATCTTACTCGGGACAGTTTCTAAATCTCAAATATTATGAAGTTAATAGAGACTCTGAATATCAATGCAATCAGGCCGTGAGCACATAGATCAAACAGAACGACATTATTAAAACCGATTCTCCAAATATTTATCTATAAAGGACCAACATATGCACAGAATTAGCTTAAGAAAAATCAGAATTTCTCATCAAATCCAAATATATATTTTTACCCCCCAAAAAAAAAACTAAAATAAAATAAAAAAACATGTACACGCTATGATCAAAGTCCCCATTTTTGCAGAACCCATTTAAAAATGCGTAACAGAATTCATACCTTGCGTGAATAATCTTAACGCTGGTTTTCATGCGGGGTTGGGACCAATTATACGCTAGAGAGCCCACGATCCCACTTGCCCATAACGCCCCTAATAATCGAACAAAAACAGGGTTTAATGTACCAAACCCCCCTGTATTATACTAAATCTGCGCCTTTCCCCCTTCTAATATAAAAATTGCGTCGGACCCCCTTCTATTAACATTTTGCATGCGCGAATCACCCTAAACCGTCTAAGATGACGGCTGTGGTATGCACGCGCGTCCTGTGCGACTTTTTCTTCGTTTTGTCACCCCCAAGTCGCGGATTTTACCTTTTTACCCTTAAAATCAACCATTTAATTGTTTGCTTCTTCCCCAAATCGATAACCCTATTCTTCTTCCCCAAATTGCTTCTTCCCCAAAGCACTGTTTTCTTCTTTTTTTTTTTTGTTTTGTAGCATTTCGTTCGCCCAAAAATTGCACAACACATTCACTTGCACAGAATCGGGCGACGCACAGGTATCATCTTCTTCCTTTGTTTTTTTTTTTTTT